AAGAGTTCATAGTGTCGTCCTGACGCATTTGTTTACTTTATTTAAATTGGACTTTGATGTATGAAATTGGGACAATAACTTCATTTTATTAAGTAGGCATTAACTATGAAAGAATTTTTCCCTTAGAAAGTAAAATTAGGTTTTTAAGAATCTTTTCTTACGGGGTTATTTCATATTTGTATGGGGAAAAATTATTGAATGTTTTTTGTAACTAAAATTTGTACGAATGGAATACTTAAGGATTAAAATAATGCAATATTTTTTTCGTTTTCCTGATTTCTTAAAGTCTTAAAACCAGGATATATTATTTGCGCAGGAAAAATGTTTTTTAATTGCATGGTGGTGGGGAAGTCCGTAAACCGAAATTATGATAATTATGAATAATTCCTAAAATGGAACTTTAGAAAAATCTGCCCCTATTAATCATTATAAACAAAATATTAAAAATTGTCTATTTATCATTGTGTCCCAGTTAGTGATTCGACAAACATATAATGAGATCAGATACAGATAAAACGGCTCTATATGCTTTCTGAGGCATAGACATGACACTGCTAAGCTCTCGACTCATGGATGCTACTGAGAATTTCTCGATATAAAACCCAATTGATTTTTAACCTGATCACACATATTACTTAAAAGCCAAAAAAAATCCTGGATTGAGTTTAGTTTTATTTTCTATTTGTTTGGAGAATGAGACAAAATATAGATACTTACGCAATTTCATTTATTCAGTTAGTGTAGGTACTTAGTTTTAGGTAGGCATTGGATTATAGTTTTCATTTCATTTTTTATTTAAATCAATAATTGTTGATGGTGCTTGCTTAGTTAGGGCAATCTCTTATTTGTTGTATGGAAATCAAGTATGGGCTCGACACATTCGGAAGCAAATTAGAGATTACGTTATTGTAGTCGTTTTGTTGTTTATCTACAAATAAAAATACAAGCATATTCTTTTTGGACTTTTTGCGGTTTGGTTGGACATTATTATATATGTCAAGACAACTTTGTAATTAAAGGGGAGGAGTTTGAGATTTGTATAGCTTGAAGGAGTGCAGAAAGATAAATTTGTGTAATAAGTGTTATAATACATTTTTTTGTTTTTATTTGACAATGTCAATTGCAATACATAATATTTGAAGAAAGTTAGGTAGAGAGTCGCCAGTTGTTGATTAGAAGAATGTGGTTGAAATTGTGTGAGTTCTAATGTTTTTTTGGAGTGTTTTTTTTATTTGCTAATCTGTTTGAGGGAATGTACATTTTTGTTTCGGTTCCTTTGTTGGTCCGTTTATTTGTTCGTTCGTTTTTTCGTCTGATCGACCGACTAATTGAATGCTTTTATTCAGTATAGTGTTTTTTTAGGTCTTCACGATAGTTTAATTTACACATAAATCATTACTTCTTAGAATATCAAAAGTACTGATTCTACGCGAACGAAATAATGAGCACAGCTAGTCACTAATAATTTATTATTTGTCTAACTTACATTCTTATTTATAACAGTTTTACGTTATCGCTGTCTTAAATGAAAAATTATCGCAAAAGTTCCTCACCGAAGAATGTTAATCTACGCGGTGTTGAATACCTCAAAATGTTGCAGCGCTGTCATACCGTCAATTAGGAAAGAGCTTTAATAAGCTAAAACGTTTTTGTAGGTAAAAGTCGTAAGTGTCTTCCATACTTAAGTGCTTTTGTACTAAAAAAATTTCGTCGTTTTGGCATCATAATATACGTGTATATTAATTTGATTTACGGATCATTATCTATATATTAACAAGTCAAGACAAAACTTTGTAACTTTTTTAAACATATTGCGCTCCCGGAGGAGTTTGAGATTTGGTATAGCTATTTAAATGAAGAAGGAGTGCAGAAAGATAAATTTATGTGTAATAATAAGTGTTATAAATACATTTAATAAAATAAAATAAACATTCATTGCTTATGTTCATTCTGACAATGTCAATTGACAAATACATAGTATTCTGAAGTCAAACAGTTGCACAGCGTAGAGATTGTCGCCAAAAGTTGTTAAAATAGATTAGACAGATCAGCTGAATGAGTTGTGAAATATGTGTGAGTTCTAATGTTCCTTTTTCAGTAGTCTGTGAGGTGTAAGTCACGGCAAAAAGTGTTTATTTTAGTATTTGCATAAATTTCATATCTGTGGTTTATATAATAATCCCGAAAAGTATTTTATTTATTTTTTTGGTATCAGTAGGGAATTCGATGGACTTATGGTTTTCAGGTGGGGATGGTCGCCGATATATTTTAATAAGTGACCATTTTATACTAATCCTCGTTCGTCTGTAGTTTTTTTTTGTCTTTAATTCAACCTCGCAACATTGTCCTTCAGTTCTTAGAATCAATATGCAGATGCGTTGTCACACCTAAGGACAAAGACGGAAAGTCTCGTTTCTAATAAAAAGGCCGAAGGCTGTACATGTTTCCTACACTCACCATATGAATACAGCAGCCTAAGGCTGCTATTTTTTTAAGCTGATGTTCTGTGACAGCGTGTTATTTCCTCGGCTTAGCGGACCCATACTATAACCACATATAACTGCAGACTATCAAGTTAAAAAGTATATAAGTATTCGTAGGAAAATATAATATGATTTTTTTGAGTTCTTGCCTAAACGCAATTGCTTTTTAATATACCTGGCAAGTACATTAGATTTTCAAGGTAACAAAGAACTCGGTAAGCAACACTAAGCATTACGTATCGAGAAGAATGGGATTATTGTGGCCATAAATTTCGCCTAAGATAAAGGAAGAATACGTGCGAGGCTAAAGTCGTAAAATGAAATCGTCGTAAAGGAATTATTGTTTGTATGCGGGAGTCCAACAAAAGATAAGTTTATGTGATAATTTACAAAGTACCATGCATTTCGTGGACCAATTTTATTTTCCTCTCCAGAACATTTTCTCGTTTTATTACACAATAGTGTCATGTCATATAAATATTATTGCAAACAATTGGACTGGTTTGGTTGCTAAGCATTATAAATATGTGTTGGAGGAAGTGGTGTTGGATTTGGTGGTGGCAGTGAAAGTGCACGTAATTATGGGAGGAAGAAAGATGCTCTTGAAACGGTGTATTGCGCCTTTTTTATTTTTCAGGCGAATCTTTGCTAAGATGCACTTTTGGTCCATATTAAATAGTAATAATTGTAAATAATTTTATAATTTAATAATTTTAAATAGTATAAATTTGGTCCATATAATATGTAAATAGGTTTATATGTGACGCCCCGCAACGGCTAACAATACTACAGGGCTTTTTAAACATAAATTATAAATTACCTTAATATAATAAACATTAATATTATTTAATATACCGACGGGTGCAAAGTAAAAAGGGTCATCTACAAAACAGCTACTTTTCAGGAGAGCGCATAATAGGAAAAAATGCTCCCATTTTGTCAATTTTAAACCAAATTCATTGAAATTTTCATCATTGCTTCATTATTTAATAATGTATCAACATGTCATTTCAACATGGCATATTTCATTTCTTCTAATTATGTTTAATTTACGAGATATTGTAGTTGTCTGCATCTACATTGCGCTTAAAAATATGACAACTGTGTTAACTACCACTTGGCCGTTTCTACGTGGGAATTCAAAGATTTAAGAAAATACTTTACTAAGTCTTTGAATTTCCACGTAGATTAGTATATTTCAGTAAATACGAAAACTGTAACACTTCCTATTATTAAAATTAGTTAATGACCGTTTTACATCTTATCTTATCGAATCTTTGGTTTAGAATTCAACAGTAAAATTATAATTATAGCCTTCGTTATAAAAAAAAACAATTAAAATTAAATCTAGAAAATTCTTTTTTTTTTCATAAATTATAAAAAAATAACATCAGTCATAATAATCAAGTTAGGTTCGTTTCCATGACCTAGTTAACACAAGAATAAAAATAAATCCTTTAAAGTACGTTCTATACGTACATTTTTTTTAAAAAAATAGTTAGGTATATCACTTATGATAAAAGTAAGTAGAAAATTAAATTCTAAACAATAATTAAACTCTGTATCAATACTTAAAAAATTACGAAAATTTTTTTTAATTATTTTAAAACCAATTTAAAAATTATTCAGTCTCATTACCGTCAGTACAGGAACTATGTTTCAAATTTTTTATAAAAGTTATGATATCTAGGAGGTATCAGATTTTGCTGGCAGAGGCTTATTAAGTCTTTGTACTTGGCACTTGTAATCATGATGGGTTCATTATAACATTTTTTGGGATCATTAAAGCCACGGTGGTAACGAGTAGTTACTTTTCGCACCAATTCAATTCGCTTGAGTTCTTCGTCATTTAGATCATATTTATAAAATATTGTGTAAGGATTCTTTGCTTTAACGACTATTTCTCGAACTTGATTCCACTTAACATTCTCATTGTCGGTATTTTTTGTCAATTTAAAATCATATAAATATATTTTGAAATCCAAAATTTGGTCTTGTGTTATTTCTATAATATCATAAGCATCGCCGGACGTTTTACACCACCGAACGAGTGTATACCATTCTTCAGGACAAAAAATGAATTTTCTCTTCGACGATTTCTCAATTAATGCGTGGACACTATCTCCTTCTTGCTGGGTGTGACCCTTCTCCAAAAATCTGTGATGAATATCAATGCTATACTTTTGAGAGCAGTATATATACATCAGAAACACCATACGGTTCCTGTTCTGACCACCACAGTTATCGGACCACAGGCGGATATCTTTGATGCCTCTATTAGTTGACTGTTGTATAAAATTAGAAAGGCAACTAGCCACTTCTTTCGAACCCCGCTTAGCTATAGTTTCAGGCCACATATAACATATTCCTTTTTTAAGTCCCATATCAAAAACAGTAAAATTAAAGACAGAAAGTTTACGCTTATAATAAAATGAACCGGTTTCTCCGTGTGGTGTCGACAAAATTTTTTGAAAATCAGAGGTAGCCGAAGTTACAGTTTCAGGATTAGAATAAGCTTCATTTTTGTCTTGTTTCTTCAAATATTTCTATATTATCTTGTATACGTTTATTGTACTGATCTTGTGCTCTGGTTTGTGAAGGAAGGCAATTTTTAAATGCTATACACACGTCGCACTGGTCTTTTTTAGGAATATAAAAGGCTATGTTCATTTCCTTGTTAACTATGTCTCGGTACTGGCGCGCTGTGTGTACCCTCTGCACAAAACTATTTTCCTCTGCCCAAGTCTGGTACAACTTAAACATCGTGGAGAAATTTAAATCAGCCAAGTAAACTTTGTTTGTGTCATTTCTTGTGTAATTTGACTCCACTGGTTGAAACGAGTTTACATGATCACACATACCTTTTATTATGGCGGCTGTACAAACCTTCTTTTTATTGTTATGACGACCTCTGAAGTCTTTTTCACAGTTACCAGTACTTTTATCATATTTATCAAGAGCACTCTGTATAAACTGATTACTTACCCACAGCGTATTCTTAAACATTGTTTTGCATACTTTTACAGTTCTAGGGCTGGTTTCTTTTAAATGTATTGAAAGTGTATAGTTTACACTGTGTTGGCGTTTAGAATCATTCTCTGTAGTAATTCTTCGTTTCATATAACGTTTTGTATATTTACCAATAAAAACCCATTGCTTTTCGTGATCACAGAAATCCCAAAAACGATCAAAGATAAGTTTTCTATATTCGTGAGATATTTTTGCGCTACAGTTAAACTTGCAAATAACACATGCCGGCTTAAGATGTTTCGCAGGTTGCAATTTTCCATTTCTGGACTGATGTTGTTTACCTGAATTTAATAGTAATTTACGTCTTGTATCCATCCACTTGTCTTTATTTCTCAATCGCCTTTTCTTTGATCTATCAATACTGAACTGATGTATTTTTCTACCGTTTATCGACGAAGGTGTAGAACATTCACTTGATGCCTCCACCGCCGAAGAAGTATCACTAGTGTTGCTTATAGAAGATTGACGGTTTGAAATTAGTGACGTACTCGATGGCCTGCCTGAGTTTATTAAACAGGTATTTTGATCTAATTCTGATAATGGACGCGGCGGACTTGAAGTAAATGAGTCGTATTCTGAGGGCGTTGGTGTATCCGATAATTTGCTCGGAGAATCTCTATTATCAACATAAACATTTTCTGAATTAATTTGTATTTCAGATTGAGAGTGAACTGGTGCGACCTAGAGTACATAGAATATGGGGACTTATCTTGCGAAGTTAACTGATACTCATTTGTCTTCATCGCTGACACATCAAGGTCTTTTATAAGATGTTCAATAACTTCATCGGCCAACACAGCATTTTTGTCGAAAAATCCATTGCTTATGTTCTGTAAGCTTTCATCTTCTTTAAAAAGGTTGTTTCGGACTTTCTGAACATGAAACAATAGTAAAAAATAACAGTAAGAAAATATAATTTAATTATAAATCAATTAATCTATATATATATATATATATATATATATATATATATATATATATATATATATATATATATATATATATATATATATATAGCTAACAATAAGAATTAACATAGGTAGGTACTCATAAACATAACAAACAATACTAATTTACAAAAGTAAATTGAGACATCTACATCACAATCGCAACGTAGAAAAGCTATATGGCAGATAGCCGTTTATGCGTCGTTTCGTAAAAAAAATATCAATGATAACCTATTTTCATAATTACAAAAACTAATTATGATTTAACTTCAAAATAACAATAATATTAAACTAGTATTATAAAAAATACGTACCAGAACTAGTTTCACGGTTGTTATCGATAAGTTGTAATAGATCTTCTCGGTTCATAATATCGCATTATCGTCCCGTTTTGCCCAAATTCACCAATAATTTACGTCTTTCCATGTCTTTTGTGTTGAACTCAAACTTTTTACTAATATGATAACACTTTTACACACACTATAACACTTAACAAACCAAAACAAACAAATATTCGTGCCAGCCGGCGAAGCACATGTCATCTGACTGATGACGCAATATGACTGACCGCTGGCCCCCGCGCGTCCCGCGTATTAACGGTCAGCGGTAGTTGTCCGTTATGTGTTTTTCTTTTACGTGACAAAATTACCAAAAATAAGGTGATATTTATATTTTTGTTTTTGTTATGTTGTAGAACATGATATTTTAAGTTAGTTTTTACAAAAAACCAAAAATTTCAAAATTGCAGTTAAGTTTTTTTACTTTGCACCCGTCGATATATTATATATTGTATATAAATAATACAGTTTAGTTGTATATGAATAATATAGCCGAAGTGTTATTTTTTTGTGACTAAATTTATTAAATTTATCGTTAAAAATATTTAAATTATAATAACAAATTATAAATAAGGAATATTTCGTTTCGTTATATTGTTTCTTAAATTGCGTAGTGATACTTTTTATGATTTTTATTCGGTAAATGGAATTATATTTTTATTGTTATTACGTGAGGGCTATACGATAGATAGATAACATTTTATTGCACGCAAACAAAATATTATCAAAAAAAGGAGAAAAAGAAATGCGGCACAATGGACGGTCTTATGGCTAAGAGTGATCTCTGCCAGTGAACCTAATAATAATGATTGGATATAATAAGCTTAAATAAATTTCTATTATTTCTTTTAGATTCTTAATAGGTTAGTAGAGTCTTGGGTATCACCTGAATTTCAAAAACTCGAGGATGTAAGTAGATGCAAGTGGCAGTGTTTAATGTTTAACGAAGTATGGTTTACATGATACCATTTGGTCTATATTCGTTAATATTCAGAGATATTTTTTTTGTAACAAAGTTAACAAATTATTTATATAATTTGTTAACTTAACATGAGTTTCACCGCAAGAAAAAAAATAGAATAAATTAGAATAAAATCAATGTAGATTACATGCAATACTTAGTTTTTTTTAAAGTATTTTTTTTTGCTTTTGCCACTGGTTCCCTGCTAAAAGTGAGAGATTACTACTATGATTTTTGGCATTTATGTATTGTTTTGACTTACAAAGCTTAATAAATTAAAATTTAATAAACTAAGAAGGGACCATAAATAACTGAAGCAGTTCCTTTTTTTATAGAAAAGGGGGCAAACGAGCCAACGGTTCAACTGATATTAGGTGACCACCGCAGCCCTTTAGAATGGAGTAAGCTCTTTTCTTGAAGGTCCCTAGGTCATATCGATCCGGAAAAATCGCAGAACGTGTAGTATATTTTAAAAAGTTCGACAAATAAATATTTCACTTTATTTTAGCAACCATATTAAATATGTCTTTTAAGTACCAGATTGCACTGTCTTTAATAAACTTATCGATAGAAGAATTTCTACCAAAACATTTAAAAACATTTTATATAGAATAACTATATGAAACACTAACTGTTTCGGTAGAAGTTCTTCATCGTCGTCAACACCATAATTTTTATCAAAGTAAGGATGATAAATAAGCATACAGTTCACCTGAATGATAAGTGGTTGCAACAGCTAATAAACACCAGTTTTTCACCACCACACAGTTATCTACATCTGTCCTCAATTAAGAATCAAAATACCGATGGTTGTCACCCCTGAGAAACACCTTTATAATTGACTCTCCGGTTCTCGTCCTTCAACAAACGAACAGCAGACAAGGTGCTATTTCACGCAGATATTCTGTGCGAGTGTTTTCTTTTCGAGGTCGAGCCAACCTCAAGCCGAGCAATCAGACTCATCGGACTGGTCATCTGCGCAGGACAGAATTATAGCACCCGAGTGTATACGCTTGCATAATTCTTTATTTGCAAATTGTCGTATTCTGAAGGAACGGTAATCTAACACGACAGGAGAGAGATCAGGCGCAGTACCAATAGCTTTACGTGCCGAGGTACGGGAGTATAACATTGCCATATTCGTTTACTATATTATTACAAACCACGTACAAAACAAAATAGCCTTTTAAGTTTATCGCTGGACATAAGCTATTCACTAGTGTGAATAATTTCAATTAATTTGCGAAAAGTTTAGTGGCAACTAAGGGAATAATTAGTTAACGTGGCTATGTTAATTTGCAGCAATTATACCGCGATTTTGCTGCGACAATTTAGCAACAGGCAGACTATACCCTTTATTAAATGGAATTATCAAATAGTCTTATTTTCAGATCATCATCATTACAGCCCTTCACAAGTCCACTGCTGAACATAGGCATTATTTTCAGATATGAGGCAGATTATTTCGTGATTTATTTATATGTTAGCAATAACTAACAGTGGTAGAGACCCGTGGCAGCTTTTGCCGTTACACAGGTAGGCCTCAGAATAGCAGCGTGAAGTAGAAGTTTACTTCTGCGTTTCACTTGGTGCATTCAGGTGGCGGGAGGCCCAATCTCCCCCCCCTCCTCCAAGTTAACATGGTAGCGGAGTTAAATAAGACACTACCCCAGGAGGGTTTCAGTACCCCTGGTATCAGAGAATCTCCACCTGAGCATCCACGCCCAAACTACCATACTCCTCCTGAGCATGTGTGCTCAGACTGTTGTTGCGAAATTCGGCTCACGACTAAAACTACTCGGGGCAAGTGCAGCAATAAGACAAAGACGAACTCTGTCATACTATCCGTGAATTTCTGCAGCATCCAGGGATTTCATTTAAACCTTAAAGCATTCCACTACCTTTTGGAGACGGCGATACAAAGTACCCAGGGAACAAATTAGAACACTCGTTTGTGCCCCGGGCTGAAGTTTGCGAATACGTATACGTTAGAGACGACATCTGTTTTTGACGCTTTGGCAGTCTTGAAAGTATGAACCTGTACATCCTATGCTGCGCGTAGGCAGTGACGACCATCCCGGGCAGTGACGATCATCAGTCTACGGGTACTATATCATAGTATTGCCTTTATATTTTATACGTGATAGAGCCATGTTGCAGTTATATTGGTGGTAAAGTTGTAGCACGAATGGGTCGGCTCGACCGGGGAAGGACACAAAACACCAAAGTAAAATAGTAACTCGTATGGTGGCTTTAGAGAACCGGATACCCTTTTTACTGGAAACGAGGAATTCCATCTTAGTTCTCACGGGTGACACCGCATCTTCATTTTGATTCTTAATCGAGGATAGATGTAGATATCTATGGTCCACAGCAACCACTTACCATCAGGTGGGCTATTTGCTCGTTTGTACCCTATCCTATAAAAAAAATTGATTTTTGGACATTAAGTGCGAGCGTACTCTCAGCCGCCCGAGCTACCTCTGGTTAAGGAGTTGAGTGAAAACTAGTGCTATCACTGAGTCCGGTCTGTTTTGCAGTTTCGTAGTGCAGCACAGGGTATTTTAAATATTTTTTCTTAAATTTGCAAAGTTGTTAAATTACTTTTAATTTGGTTTTATTTATCTTTTTGCATTTAATTATTTTTAATTGTTGTGCTGCGGTAATGCTGACACAAATCATGTCATTGACTAAGTTCAAATGTACTGCAGATTTCGTCTACAACAGGAT